TGAAATTCCACCGAGGGGACAAGACTTACAGTCTAAGACGAGGCTTTGCCGAGTCCTAGACCGTGAATCTTGGCCACGAGGTGAAATTTAACTATTCCCACACGATTATGTAATATATGATTATTTTTCTCGCATTGTTTTATCCAAAATAACGCCTTGTCAATGACATCGCCATGATAGGGCTAAAATTTTTTTTTTTTCAATTTTCCATCTAATTAAAAATCAAAATACAATGAACACCATCAGAGAGAGCGTACCTGAAAATGGTTTACACAATTGTGTAAACTGATAAAATGAATTTAAGTCCATGTAAATTAATTGGATAGATAAAAACTGGGAATAAAAAACTTATCTATCCGCTAGCGTACACATTCATTCTCGAAGAATCCTTCCGCGATCTATAAATAGTGCCATTAAAAAAGTGAAAATACGACAATATTTTGAATGAAAATAAGTTTAGTTTGATAAGTTAAATGACAACATTTTAAGTATATGTACATGTAATATTTTTAACATTGTTACAATTTAGTTATATAAAGACGAAATGTTTACGTTATTGTTCGCGGCGTAGATATACACAGTGTAAGACAAAAAAATCTTACACGGTTGTCTCACACCGGACAAGTCAATCTTACACTGGCGATTATGCGAGAACGTAACGTATAGAATCGTGTACGTGAATGTTTATGTAAAAGATTTTTTTCATGGGTTGATTGTTCGTGTTACATGGTTGCTCTTGTAACTTTTCAACAGAAACGTTGTAGCCACTGACATTTTCACACCTCATTTGAACAGAGAAAAAATAATTACATTTAATATGTGTTTATTAACTTGATCTGAAGTTTTATTACTTTTATATGCATAATTAAAATATTTTAGAATTTGTGTGAAACACATGGGGCTCATCTTGTTGAAATTGAAACAGATGAGGAAAATTTTTGGATCCAGTATAACTTTCTAGATGTTTGGAATTATGGTAAGATACTTCTTTATGTTGAAATCCTATTAATATATACTTTTTTATTCATGTTATTTGTGGGAACATTTTTGTTTTCATTTGATATAATCATAACCGTTATTGGTGTCAACAAGCTAGTTAAAAATAGTGTTTTAATTTGCCTTTTTAGTATCATAACTCCACGTGTTTACATATCAGTTTGTTCCAAAAAATATATTTGAAAAATATTCGTTAACAAATTACTTATTATACCGGTGAAGGAAGGTAAGTTGGTAAAAGTCTGAGTAGCGCAGGTGGTTAATGAGGCTTTTGTGGAAATGTGTAAGAAGATTTTCTCCTTAAACTAAACCCTGCCTGAGCAAAAAATGCGATGACTTTGATTAGATATACGAGGGTTGTTCAAAACGTTCGTGCATTATGTTCATCTTCGTTACACATGTTACATGTTACATACTACTTTCAAGAAATTTAAACTAAGCACAATATAATGAGTGAGAATTTTAGTTTTGTTTGTTGATATTTGAAGTTTCTTTTATTCGATTTAGCAGAAGTAAATTTCCTTCATTATAATATAATCAGGTTTTGTACCTGCAAATCACACTTAGAATTTTAACGTCAAAACGTAACGTTAAGAAATTCTAAAAAAAAATACTATCCCTTTACATTTTCAAAAATAATAATCGGATACCCACTCATTAGAATTCTTTTTCTAGCACTTGAATATCATTGTTTTAATTTTTCTCGTTGTTAAATTTATTTGGCTTATGCTTTAATCCTTTTATCTCTTAGCTCTGCTTACATTGGATCAGCAATTCTGAAGCACCTATGGCTTTCCTTGACGTTCCATTATTTTAAAGAAAAAAAAAATCTTCACAAAATCCCCTCATTCGATAAAGAGTCTATGTCACTCAAATACTGTCTATACTTTTGTACACAAATGCTAAACTTCCTCCTGCATATTTTCATTTTTTTTTCCATTAATCTATTCATTCTAGAAACTACCTATTTAAATGCTTCCCTTTTTCAATGAAGATATTATTCAAAAAGTGCTTTACCCTCTTAGACAATTTTTTTGGAAGTCCAAATAACCTTATGAAATAAATTATAATTTTCATAAATCTATTTATTATTTATTATGTGTGCATTACATTGACTGAAAAATTAAAGAGGGTTTGTTAATAGTTTAATTACTGTAAAAAGAAATTTTCTCAACATCTACTGTTATTTGCAAGTGGGAATAGGTGGAATAGGTGAAATTGGGATTTTAAAATAAAGTTTGAATAGTCAACACTAAGCAAAATGTAACTTAGAAACTTGGTTGTAATTTTTTTGCTTACAATCAATGTATTTTGATTTCATTATTTTTATAATTTTTCAGCCGGTTGTCCTGAATCAAAAATTGATTGCTGTTATTGTTGGATTGGGGCGACAGATCGTCACACTGAGGGCGTTTTTACTTGGAATTTTCATACCAATGTCACGTTTGATGATTTCAACGAGCTCTACTCTGAAAATATTTTCTCCAAAGATTGTGTCCTTCTCTGTAAAACCCTAAAATGGGATGTTGCAAACTGTGACAAGAAACAAGTTTTTATTTGCGAAAAAGATATTGATTAATCAAGCATAACGTACGTGCTTAGTTTTGCATTATGATGTTTTATCATATTGATATATTATCTCTTATTTATTTTATATGCATGCAATCTGTGCAACCTGCCATTACATGCTATGTAAGCAATCATATGTTTGTATTAATATTCATTGTATTTCTTTTATATGTTCAGCTTTTTTTCATGTTATACATGTTCAGATATATATGAGCTTGACCCCCAGCCTCGATTTACCATAGGCGATAACATAAGAAAGCAGCTGTACCTTCGTCAAGCGTTCAGCACTCTGAAGAATAGGCCTGGGGACCTTCATACAAGACATTAAATACGCACTGTTTAGAGTCCCTCATTGCTTCATAGCCGTGATTGCCAAGTATATATCTAAGTATTTTTATCGTTAATGTAGTCCGATCCTCAGATTTATACAATTAGCAGTTTAGTAATCAAAAATAATTAAAAAGTATCTCTGAATTCACAAAGTTTTGTGAATTTATACACAGTATTTCTTTAAAGCTATAAGTTAAGATTTATGTTAATCATATTATATATGGAAAATTGTGAAATCTCTAATATTTTTGCAGAAAAAACGAATTGGAATATCAGCAATGTGTTTTTTAATTGCAAAATAATCAACAAATATATTTTAAGCTTAAAAACGATAAGTATCCAGGCATTCAGAGAAATTGTCGTAAATTTTATATTTATCTTGTATTTTTCGTCTTCTCTTTCCATCATGCATTCTGTAATACATAGTGTAAAAGGCTTTTGCTGTCATTGCAAGACACCACAAATCACTTCTTATTTCATACCATGTTAATAAGCATTGGTATCTAAGACTGGATTCAAGAAAATCTTATTTCACTATAACTGTATGATTTTTTTCCCTTTTCAAGGGTACAAATGTCAACTTTTATAAGACCTTTTCTAAGACTTCAAAAAACCCTGCATCTTAAAAAGAAGAATAAAATTCATAAAAAATATGGCATGAAAAAAGAGGTAGGGGCTCCATTGGCGAAAATCGGCCCCAGCTCAAAAATAAATTTTATTTTTTTGATTATATGTTGTGGATGTCTATTTTTTAAAAAGAACACCAATTTGTCCGAAAAACTTAATTTAAGGAGAAAATTAAGGCATTGATTGACCGCCGTTAATAGTTAACGTTAACGTTAAAAAGTAGCGTCATTACGTTATACACACACAGTTACTCGGTACCCTCCTCAGAGAACACTGAGTTAACCATACACACTAATATTGATAAGAACAACAAAACTTTTTTGATAGTTTACAACGGCTAAATTTCTTTTGTCAGGGTATGATGATGATGATAATCTGATGGTTGTCATAGCAACCAACTTTCTTCATAAATATGTCTCTGACTACATTAATAACAGAAAGGAAATATCTCAAAAACTTGACAATTTTGGTCACTTTCAAAACGTTGATATGTTCTCAATTTGTTGCAATATAGAGGTCATCAGTAAATTGATACGAAGACTTCTGTTCAGTATATAATTCCTCTTAATAAAACATTTTTTTCTAATGGTAGCTAAACGCAGTTTAGTATAAAATCCAGGGGGGGGGTCCCAAAGAGAAGCATGCTGGGTAGGGATTTTCCTGCTATTTATAGGAGTCTAGATGAAAACTGCATCTTTTTTGTTTTTATTCGCATAAAATAGAGTTTTCTCTTAATATTTAAAGAAAAAAATGTGCATTCATTTTTAGAAAAAAAAATTGTGAGACTTTTTAATAGGGGGAGATAACTCCCCAAACATCTTGTTTTCACATGTGCAGAATTGCATGAGTCATTTAACAGGTAATGTAGCTCTTTCAAGAGGTGGAAAATGTACCCTAAAAGCACACTAAAAAAAAACCTTAGGACTTGTTCTGTGAAATGCACATAACTTACTTTGTCAGATTTTTTTCTATTTTTGTTGAGCGGGGGGGGGGGTTAAAAATGCTGAAAATGGATACATAAACAACCCAATATCCCCCATATTTCAAGTGTCAAATACTCCCTAGTAGTAATTGATGAATGTATTATAGTTGGATATTTATTAAATTCACAATTTTATCTTTCCATTGATATGCAGAAGTATATGTAACAAGCCTCCATTTTATTTCTTTACAGGGGCCAGTTTTGCTTGTCCCTCACCAAGTAACGTCCTGATAACGTCATACATAAAACTGTGTTTTGCACCCAATATCGTCCATGAAATATGACTTTTGAACGTAATTTAGGATTTTTAAGTACTAGTCTTGTTAATATCTTAATATGCATATTAAAAGATGCACAGGTCTAATTACTTCTTTACAAAAGAGTTTTAGGGGATATTGGAAGGCAATTGTGTGTGTTTGTATGAGGACTAATTCTGTGTTAATTCTGTGCAAAACGGAGGTGACGTAATTTGCATCGGGATCGATGTCCAATGCTGCCTTAAGGGTGCAAAACACAGTTTTATGTACGACGTTATCAGGACGTTACTTGGTGAGGGACATGCAAAACTGGCCCCTATAAAAAAATAAAATGGAGGCTTGTTACATAGACTTCTGCATATCAATGGAAAGATAAAATTGTGAATTGTGTAAATATCCAACTATAATACATTCATCAATTACTACTAGGGGGTATTTGACACCTGAAATAAGGGGGATATTGGGTTGTTTACGCATCCATTTTCAGTGCACCTATGCATTTTTAACCCCCCTGCTCAACAAAAACAGAAAAAATCAGACAAAATAAGTTGCATGCATTTCACAGAACAAGTCCTAAGGTTTTCTTTTAGTGTGCTTTCAGGGTACATTTTCCACCTCTTGAAAGAGCTACATTACCTGCTAATTGACTCATGCAATTCTGCACATGTGAAAACTGGATGTTTTGGGAGTTATCTCCCCCTATTAAAAAGTCTCACAATTTTTTTTTCTAAAAATGAATGCACATTTTTTTCTTTAAATATTAAGATAAGACTCTACTTTATGTGAATAAAAACAAAAAAGATGCAGTTTTCATCTAGACTCCTATAAATAGCAGGAAAATCCCTACCCAGCATGCTTCTCTCTGGGAAAAACCCCCTGGATTTTATACGAAACTGTGTTTAGCTACCTTAAAGGAAATAATTTTTTCTTGCAATTCACTTTTTTGTATTTAGGTGCAAGGAGAACAGAATTCCAAACATTTTGGTGCATAAATTGTTGAATTTGGTCCAGAAATGGGCAAGTTATTGTAAATTTAGTATTACATGTCTACGACATTAGTCGACGCATAAAACAGGACTTCGAAGAGAAATTCAAACCTAACCGAATCAGCTCACACAATAATTTTATTTTTCTTCAATTTAAAAAACACAAAGTATGAAATATGCAGTATTTGAATATCAATAAAATGTTACATTATAAATTTTTTGAAAAGCTGCCAAACAATTTTTACAGATATTGCTAGTTTCTGCATAAACAAGGGGGGGGGGGTGTCTAATTGGAAATAGTCACTGTCTTAAATCATAAGATTGCCTAAAACATCTGGATGGTGTCACCCTAACTAGATACTCAATAGGTCTATGTCACATGTATATCTATACAGAAGATACATATTCTCATTTGCGATCAATTAAATTGAAGGTCATGACCTTGCGAAGCTTCCATTTTTGACATGACGTCACACTTTGTTGTCACAATGCTGTTGCGTCATAATATAAAATAACAACTTTAGCCCCTGAATCCTTATCATATGTATAAATTCTATGGAACATGTATCTAATAGGCATTAATGCCTTACACATTGTCAACCTGAGATTATATTGTATGGTTTACTACATAATTTAAAAGAAATAAAGCAATTTTCTATGAACTTACAGGCAAATAAATGTGGGAAATGTCATCAAATGCTACTCCTTAAGGGTGCAAAACACAGTTTTATGTACGACGTTATCAGGACGTTACTTGGTGAGGGACATGCAAAACTGGCCCCTATAAAAAAATAAAATGGAGGCTTGTTACATAGACTTCTGCATATCAATGGAAAGATAAAATTGTGAATTTTGTAAATATCCAACTATAATACATTCATCAATTACTACTAGGGGGTATTTGACACCTGAAATAAGGGGGATATTGGGTTGTTTTCGCATCCATTTTCAGTGCACCTATGCATTTTTAACCCCCCTGCTCAACAAAAACAGAAAAAATCAGACAAAATAAGTTGCATGCATTTCACAGAACAAGTCCTAAGGTTTTCTTTTAGTGTGCTTTCAGGGTACATTTTCCACCTCTTGAAAGAGCTACATTACCTGCTAATTGACTCATGCAATTCTGCACATGTGAAAACTGGATGTTTTGGGAGTTATCTCCCCCTATTAAAAAGTCTCACAATTTTTTTTTTCTAAAAATGAATGCACATTTTTTTCTTTAAATATTAAGATAAGACTCTACTTTATGCGAATAAAAACAAAAAAGATGCAGTTTTCATCTAGACTCCTATAAATAGCAGGAAAATCCCTACCCAGCATGCTTCTCTCTGGGAAAAACCCCCTGGATTTTATACGAAACTGTGTTTAGCTACCTAAGCTTGATCAATATGATTGCAAGGGGATGCTCAGCCTTAATTCTATCGTCCCTGTTATTCTTTTGATTGACATAATACACGTATTATTGTGTGGACATTACTAAACCTTTTTCATTTTGATAATCCGAAAAAAATATATATTAAAATCAAGCACGTAAGACTGGGAATAGGTGATGTTTTTAAAATGTTTTATTTCTGATTTTATACATGTTATCATTTAAAAAATATTTTACTGAACTACTAAAAAATAACGTCTCTAATACAACCACAAATAGATCGGCCGCTCCTGCGGCCGAAAATAATGCTATAAAATGGACCCCGCGAAATCAAATTGCTTTAAATATATAGTGATTTTTTTTCATTATTTTTTTGAGTAAACATTTAACTATAACATTTTTTCATGTGATCAAGACAAACCACTTCCTATTCAGACCTTATCATTAGATGTACGTTGTGGGATTAAATAAACTGCGGGACGTTGAGACTGTTCGGATGAGATCATATAAATCGGTGTCCCCTGTTGTTTGGCACGAAAAAGATCCCTCACTGTTTAATGGCTCCGAGTATTGAGTACAAGTATAAACAAGGGCACCGCTAAGCGGAGCATCCCCTCGCGGCAGGAACATCTCTGGTAATGATAATATCTCATGAGAGATAAATTCTCTAGAGGGACGTTAAACATGTAAAAGATTGATAGTACAACGTATCTTCTTTAATGTCCCTGTCATGAATATTTTGCTCATATGAAGGCTTGCCCGTGAAGAGCTGCCCATTTTTTCTCATAATAGGCACCGACGGCCATTGAGCAGTGAGAGATCCTTTTGTACCAGCATCTACTGGGACATTGGCCCTTGGTTTACACGGTCTCATTCGAAGGATCAGTCTTCACGTCCCACAAAGGGATTCAAACCCGCAACATTAGGATCAACTTCCTTACTTTTGACAAAATAATTAGTGGAGTGTTGTTGTTGATCCAATTTTTTTTTTTGCAAAATGCAAAGTACAACGCGTCTTGGTTGGTGGTGGTGGTGGTGGGGGGGGGGGGGGGGGGGGCATAACATTGATACCTAATTTGGGGTAGTAAAGTTTAATAAAAGGTATTAAATTGTTTTTCAGCTCTATTTATTTCTTTAACAAAATTATAGGGGGTGGGTTTTTTTTTAACTAAAATCAAATTGCATAGCATTTAAGTTGGGAATGGGGTGGGGGTCATAATATGCATACGTAATTGGGCAGTTTCCCTTATACCTAGTAGAAACATATCACGCACGCTACATATTCAAGTCTCAGTAATTTTAATTATTTACCAACCTAATTAGTATATATTTCACAGTTCCAGGCAATACGCATTTTTTTCGTAATGAAAAATAACAATGTACATCGAGAGTTTATTTGAACTTGTGGCACTTGTGGCGTCGGACCCCCCCCCCCCCCCAACACACACTTTCAATTTAACGTGCATCCCAAATTCCGTGGAGTTTGGTAATCAAACCGCGACGTTCATCAAATTCTATTAATCTGGTTCCCACAGACTCGACACGGTTTTTACACTGGTTCCCTAGCGGAAATGATCATTAGCAACTCGTACATAAAATGTCAGGGTTTCGAGACAGTGAAAATGCGGTATCTAAAGAAATATTTCATCAATGAACTTGAAAATTAATAGGCTTCTTCCTTTTATACTGCCACACAAGCATGTAAACGCTGAGAGGGGTTAATGCAATGGTTCTCTGTCAATCTTGCCCACAAATGATTATTGTCACTCGTACATAAAATGGCAGTGTTTCGAGGCAGTAAAAACGCGATATTTGAAGAAATATTTCATCAAAGGACTTGAAAATTAATAGGCTTCGTCCTTTTATACTGCCAAACAAGTATGTAAACGCTGAGAAAGGTTAATGCAATGGTTCTCTGTCAATCTTGCCCACAAGGTAACGAACACACTAACACACTAACACACACACATACATACGCACATTCGCGATGCTATATCCTCCCCGCAACTAGTTGCGCGAGGGGATAATAAGCAGGTGCTGATCCAGAAATTTCTTCCGGGGGGGGGGGTCCACCCCAATAAGGAAAAATTGTCAAGCCAGAAATATTCTGAAAAACAAATTAAACAACAACTAAACGCATTTCCCAAACATGAAAAACCTATTTCTTGTGTGTGTGTGTAGGGGGGGGGGGGTTACTTATAAAACCTCGTGCCATTGGTCGCCCGCGTGGCACATTGGTTATATAGCGTCTGCTCTAGTGTCATGAAGTAAAGAGATCCTTACATCGCAGTTTCAAATCCAACTGTGGGACGTGGAAACTGGTCTTCGTATAAAACGAGTTCCCGTGTGCTGGCACGAAAAGGAACCCTCCAAGCTCAATGACCCTGAGTGCCCAGTGTAAGACAAAATTTGTAGCTCTCCAACAAGTGGTGGCGTTTCCATATAAGTGAAAATTCTCGAATTGTACGTTAAACAACATTCAATCAACAATGACTTATACCACATTCAATGATTGACTTTTCAAAGTCATTTCACATAGAGGTTTATCTGTTTTCGAGGAGGGTTCCACGTTTTCCAAAGGTGGGGGTGCCGGGGGGGGGATTTGGGTGGATGTGGAGGTGTTCAAAGTCTCTTTTATTTGGTTTAGTATATGAATTTGCTAACTCTGCAAATTCCGGGGG